AGTTCGTCTCCTTAACTCTAGACCGAGGCTTGGGGCCTAGCCGAGCCAACAGCCTGTGGAAGGAGAAGCCGAGCCTTACCTGCGGCGGGCCGTTAGCGCGGTGACAGGAGACAGTACCACATTCCGGTCGGTGTGGGTGAAATAAGGAGAGGGTTTTGGGGAAGGGGGTAGTGTTTGGGACCAGTGTCCCCCGGTATATCTAGCGGTGGTGGCGGTGAGTCCTGTGTCGGACCTCTCTCCTCCCAGCACAACCAAACCTGCTCAACTGGAGGTGCCGCGGGACGAACAGGCCGCTCGGCCAATGAGCCGTCGCGTTGCCCTGGTTACCCGGTTTGCGGGGCGCTCTGACCAATGGGCACGCGCGGGACGGTGGAGAGGGCGGGGCCGCGCGCGCCAGGTTCGGTTGCGCTCCGAGCGGCTGACGTCACCGCGCCGCCACCCCCATGACGTCAGCAGGCCAGGTCAGGTTCACCGACCATTTGGCCCCTCCAGCCCCTTCTAGATTCAAGAAGTTCATCAAGGCTTGTGTCTTGAATCCCTGTGCTCCCATCTATTCTCCGTCCACTCTTCCAACCTCTACCTTGTCAAGATAATTCAGGATCTAACGCACTTCAATCAACTCACTCCAATACTCTTCAAACCTTCTGTGGTAACACGCCACTTCTTTCCAACATGCTCTCATATCCTGTACCCCAACATCATTGTTTACATAGGGAGACCAGTATTCGAGATGTGGTCTCACCTATGCCCATCAATAACTGGAACATTAAAACTTTACTTTTATGTTTAATTCCTATAATTTTCATTATGCCTCGCAGCACAGAGCACTCGTTTTGCCTGTGCTGGCTCCTTGTCAGATCCAGCCAATTAATCCCACTTCGGATTATTGATGTGCTGTTTAGTTGTTTCCTCTTTCAGCTTGTCCCAGATTATATAGGGTCACTGCAAAGCAAGTTAATCAGCTCCATGTCAAGTAGGTATATTCATTTCCAGTCACTAGTCCTGTCAACATCTCCTCACCATCTACCTGGCATGGTACTAAAAAACACGTGTGTGGCTGAGTTCCTCATGATCAATAGGACCAGAAGTGGGATTTGAACTTAGTACCTTGCAGCTCACAAGCTGGTGAGCTACTCATAGCTCAACTCTAGTTCCCCTGTGGCCTTTCTCTGTATCACTGTAATTTTTTCCTGTTTACACATTTATTCAATTCTCTTCTAAAAGTCGCTGTTGAATTTTCTCCCACCACTCCTCTTGGCAGCACATTGCAGATCATATCTTGCTTGGTAAAATAAAAATCACTTCTCATTTCCTCTCAGGTTTTAAACTAATTCTTTTTTAAATTTGTTCTCAGAATGCAAATAACAATGGTAAGCCCCGATTTTCCTGTTGAATTGTGCACTTAGCAGCCCTGGTTGTACAGCACAGGCCTTGCTTAGTGCTGAATACTGCACTTGTACTGCTGCTGGAATATAATTTAAGGGTGGTGTGCATTGAAACAACTGACTGTGCTGAGCAGCAGTGACAAGACCATTTAATTGCTGGATCTTGATTACTCCAAAAGTAACCACAGGGCGTGGATTCAGAAAGTATTAAAGGCACACAGCAAGCTAGGAGTTATTTATGGCGAGAAAACCTCAGAAGTTAGTCATAGAGATCCACAGCACGGAAACAGGCCATATGGCCCAACCTGCCATGCCATCCAGTTTTCACAATTAATCTAGTCCCATTTGCCTGCATTTCGTCCATATCCCCCCATTCCTTTCCCATCCATGTACGTGCCTAAATGTTTCTTAAATGACAAAATCCACCACTACCTCTGGGAGCCTGTCTCAGACACTCACCATCCTCTGCATGAAAAAATTGTCCCTCTGAAACCTCTTGTACCTCTCCCCTCTCACCTAAACCTATGCTCTCAGTGTTTAAGGTTGACATAAGTAATCAATAGGATCGTGGCAGTTTCCCTTTCCTGGAGAAGGTTAACAAAGTATTTTGGATTTTTAATTAATCGAGTGGTTTTTCATTTTTGTATGTTGTGGGTTTATTAGATTCAATGTTTATTGAATTCAATGGGGCTGACAACTTCTGGATTATTTCCCCAGCAATAAACCTATTGGAACACTGCTTTGTAATGGTGAAGAATAAACTTTCATTTGATGAATTGTGTTTCAGGTTCCGAAGTGCTTCACAGTCAATGAATGATCCTTAAAATGCTGCTGTGTAAGTGAATATATTAGTCAATTTGCCTATAGCAGATTGCTGCAATCATTAGGGAGTTAACTGCATATTTAAACAGTTTAGCTGCTGTTTGTTCTGCGAGAAAACTCCAAAAGAAAGCTTTCTGTTTTTCTTCAAATGTAGTGATGGACTCTTCATGCCACTTGACAGGCAATGAATTGTCAGCCTAGGTCATAAACTGAAATCCTGGAATGGGGCTTGAACCCACAACTGAATGATTCAGAAATTACAGCAATTGAGCCAGATCCAATAACAATTAAAGTAATGATGCAGGTTGTCAAGACTATCAACAAAACAAAAATAACCAGGGTTCAATGCTGGAGGGAAAGAACTGAAAGGCAGAGAGTTTATATATTGAAGCATGGTTAGATAGCCCTAGGAGTACTCCACACAGTTCGATTCTCCACACTATATAACAGATATAGAGACAGTGGTGAAAGTACAAAACAAAATTACAAGGACATGACCAAAAAGGGAGAATAGATCTACAATGAAATATTAACAGACTGAAGTTCTTTGCCTCAGAAAAAAGGCTGCATTTTAACCTGATGGAAGCCTTCAAATCGATGAGAGGGTTTGACAAGATAGATGGAGAAGATGTGTCCACTCATAGGGATGTCCAAATTTAGAGGTTATACTACAATGTTACAGAGACAGTTTATATTTAACATTGTTTTGAAGCGTTATTAAAACAAAAAAATCATGTTTTGTGGAGATACTGGGAATTTTTTTCAAGGGGTCACTGAAAGTCATGTGGAAACGTGGATATTTTTTCAACAAGGTTTCCTGAGGATCAAATGACTGGTGCTAACTACTTGTTTTGCAGTAGATCCTGTGTTGAACACTGACTGCCTTGGAAAGGTTCTTGTTTTATCTGGGTAAGTTGCAAAGAGCAAACTGAATTGGTGTAAACCTTGCTCAGAAGAGGCTGCCCAGTTGATCTCTCCGAAAGACCATATGACATAGGAGTAGCAGTCAGCCATTCAGCCCATCGTGTCTGCTCTGCCATTCAATGAGATCATGGCTGATCTGATCATCCTCAACTCCACTTTCCTGCCTTTTCCCCATAACCCTTTATTCCCTTACTGATTAAAAATCTATCTCAACCTTGAATATACTTAACAACCCAGACTTGCCAGCATTCTGTGATAAAGAATTACACAAATTTACTGAGAAGAATTTTCTCTTCATCTCTATTTTAAAAGCATGATCCCATATTCTGAGATTATGCTGCATTTTTATGGACTCTCCCACAGGGGGAAACAACCTCTCTGCATTTAACCTGTCATGTCCCCTAAGAGTCCTTGAGATAGCAAGAACTGCAGAAGAGTCCCAACCTGAAACGTCAACTTTCCTGCTCCTCTGATGCTGCCTGGCCTGCTGTGTTCCTCCAGCTCCACACTGTGTTCCCTAAGAGTCTTTTATGTTTTAATAAGGTCGCCTCTCATTCTTCTAAACTCCTACTCAATGTCACCTCATAAGTCAGTCCCTCCATACCTGGGATCAGCCT